CAGAAAGGTGATCCATGGCTTGAAATCGCAAATGGTGTTGCACCAAAAAGGTTTGCCATTTTAATTTCAGCACTTTTTGTCTTTTGTGAAATATCATCACAAACCATCATGGCTGTAATAGCTGTAGTTCTGGTAACTGCACTTTCTCTCTCCTTGTGCTTCTTGGAATCTTGATGCTTTTGCTGCTCATACAGACCAGCAACTATTTCCTTTTCACAGAGTTTACAATAGGCTTTACATGGATCAGCACTGCTAGGCTGTAACCATCGCCTTTCATTTAGCTTGCAATTTTTCTCCCCCTTTCTGTTATACCTCTGTTTATACACCTTTCTCCTTTTGGTAGGAGACTGACTAGATGTACCACAAGATGTACAGTCAGTGTCAGAAGATATGTTACATTTCCATTGAACTCTGCCATTTTAAATTGTCCAGCTGAAAATGATTTGTTTTGATAATACAATGCATGTGAAAATTGTGCAAGTGTAATTAATGTCATGAATAATAAATAATGATTAAAATCACTCATGAATAATGACTCATGAATTTAATTATAGGGCTAAGTCAAAATTTTCCTAAATTCCCGTATTTTAGAAATACCCTCCCTAGTCCCTAAATTTACCTTTTTGTCCCTAGATCTAGGGACAAAAATTTTCCTAAATATGGAGGCACTGGCTATCATTGGGAAAATGGTGCCAAGATATTGAATATAAGGTTAAATTTCAAACTTCAATGACAATAAACTCTCATTATAAGCTAGATTGGTGCATAGATTGTGAGTTGATGACATCAGAAAATTGCTACTGTCTAAAGTTAAACAGTCAAATTCTTAATCAACAAGGGGTGCACCATCAATGAGAGTAATTTTTCTCAACCACCTAAAGGAAGTAGAGTAGCATTAGAATGCACGGAAAGTAGAGCAAGATTACGTATCATTAACAAATATGTTCCTCATTTCGAAGCCAGTAGCTACATAGGATCTCCATGTTAGCCAAAAGGAGACTATGTTTTAGAATCTTGGAAAAGGAATGAATCCACCTATCCAACATTAGCAAAATTAGCCTCAACATACCTAGTTTTACCGGCTTCATCTGCTAAAGAACAGCATATTTTCAGGATTCCTGGAAAATCTTTAAGCCCAAGCATTGTTCCTTTATCTAATTAACTGTTTAAGGATTTTATGTCTCAATAAAAACATTCACCATTGACTTTATTTTTGTTCTTCAAATAGAGGAGCAGCAAAAATGCAATCGTCATTAAATATGTCATTGAAGTTTTTCTATCACTGTGTATTTGTAATTGTAATGAGCCAATTTTTATGGAAGTAGTGTAATTTAACCTGCAATTGTAATTGAAATATTGTAGTTGATCCCAGATGTGATCACAACCCAAATTTTTGTGTCTGTAGCTATTTGTATAAGATTGTGCTACTAAATAATTTGGATGTGGCTCAGATATGCAGGTTAAAAAGAAATTTTTTTGCTAGCTATGCTAGGAATCAACTGCACTTCTATAGTGGAGGTTTCCAGCTAAGGAATTTACATGTGATTGTTTCTCTACAAGACTTAGTGTTTGATTTTTTTATTTGAATAGCACAAAAAAAATATTTATGTTACGCTATCAACGATTAATAGCCAGGGTCCTCTGGGAACCTCTAGGAGTAAGGGGGTTTGGAAATATTGCAAGGGCCACTCCCCTAAGAACACCTGTAGAGTCAGTGACAGTAATGTAAATTTAGTTCTTTGTAGGGGAGTGGTGAGTCAACTCATTGCAAACTAGGCTCATAATTTGTAAAAACCCCACAGGCCTGTTGGAGTCACAGGCAAGGTGACCATGATGACTGAGATTAACCCCAGCTCAACAGATGGTTTGAAATTTGTGTAGTGGAGTTGGAATTCTACTGAATGCAAATTTTAAAATCTCGTAGGCATGATGGCTGGTGCTGGACCAACCACGTGCCTCAAAGGCAGACAGGTCACCAATGGGATTGGAATCACAAGATGAAAGGGAACTGATCCCTTAAGCAGGGGGCTATAGAAACCCATAGCCACACGGAGTGGCCCAAACAGAGAGTGAAAATGTGTTTACCAGTTTTATGCTACCAAAGAGACACTGTCCCCCATGGGACTGACAAAACAAACATAGGGAGTTTGTGTTAAAGTCATTACTGCCAGAGACGCTATAGCACCTCACTCCCCAAACCAAGGTGAAAGGAAAGTAACAATGTGTGAGTAGAAAACCAAGGGAATAGCTTCGAAAAAAAATAACAATCATAACTAGACAATAATAACAATAGTAAAACCAACAAAAGCAATCATAACCACTAATTCTACCACTAGACAAACAAAATAACAAGTCAAGTAATCAACAATAATGAGAGCTAGGATAAGAGGAGAGCAGGGACTACAACAACCAAGGTACTTTGTGAAATACAAATGCACCTAGTGAAAGTAGATGAGTCCTCCAAAACGCAGGCTGCAGCTGCTGTAGCCGCACTGATCCTGAAACTGTGGCCATTAAAACAAAGGACATCCAACCAATCAGCTGACATTCTGGACCAAACAGCCTTAACCAGTCTGGTGTGGGAGAGTGGAGAACCATCCTGGAACAAAAATAAAGGGCCTGGGGTCAACTCCCTCACTGCTAGGTAAGACATAAGGGACTCGACTAGGTATATTGGATCGTCTACCTGGCCGAGAAATATCTAGGCCCCCACTCCAAACACATCCATTTTGCTATAGCGTAGTTGGAGCACGACAAGGATGGAAATGAGTGAGAATCCACAGCCACTCGTTTGTCCTTAAAAGACCAAAGAAGCCGGTACAGCAGGCCGCACACAACATAGCCGTATCAGGAGAAATTGGGCATTGCACCAATGCAGTAAACAAAATCTTCACAATATGTGGTGTCACAGGAGGACGTTGTGGTCTCTGGTGACCTGGTGATGATCGCTTTATACCCCTTAGGACATAGTCAGACAGGGTAGACTGAAAAGGCAGAGTCTAGGAAGCCAGGGACAATCTGCGCAAACCGGATACCACTAAAATAAACCCAGATTAACTCACAGGCAAGATCACGGGCTGCCAATAAAGCAGCAAATTGAGCCAAGACAGGTTCAATGGTGACCAAGGGGAACGACAAACCCAAATGACGACAAGACTGAATGTAACAGTTGAGTGCAGATCAGCATGAGCGTAGGGCATTCAGAGAAAATTAAGTGACAAGGTACTCCTAAACTGCTCTATCAAATTTGGCGACCCCAGTTCAGTTTGTGAGACAGCAGCAGCTGAGATACTTCCAACGGGACCCACGATGGGGCGGCCTGTGGAAAAAAGGAAAGAATGAGTGACATATTTTCTCTAAACAAGGCATCCGCTGGCACGTTTGTGACCCCCAGCAAATGTTGGGTACTGTATGAGAATTGGTAGAAGGCTGCATAGACATAGAGGCAGTACAAAATGTGATGCAAATTCTTCCTGTCTATAGCAGCTTTTCTCTAGATTACAACCACCACTGCTGCGTTATCACAATGAAAAAAACGTGGCACCAGTGCCACTCTCTCCCCCACACAGCAACGGCCATGACTATTGCGACCATTTCTTTAGCAGCAATACTAACTTTGTTCCAAGAGTGTAGCCACTGGGCCTCCAACCGTTCCTTAAGGGATGACAAAGCCCCGCAGCCAAGCCCCACACAAGGAATGTACATCCTCCAGAAAATAAAGGCCCCCCCCCAAAGCCAGTCCTGCAGAAAGCAATTGCACCATGCCAGGTCTGCCTTTGCAGTGGCAATGAGATGAAAAAAATAGTACCTCCCAGTGACGTAGGCCATAAAAAAAGTTCCTGAAGGAAAATGCAGCCAGGTTTTACCACCACTGCCGCGTGTGACAGGTGGCCCTGCAGGGACTCAAAGTCAGACAGCCAAAGGGAACATTATTCTCTACAACATCCAACAATGGCCTTGATGTGCTGGACCTTGTGCTGGGGTAGCTGGGATAGCCAAAGCTCTAAGCGAACAAAATCAAGAATAATTCCCAAAATTTTGACAGTGGTACTTGAGATTTGGCAGTAAAGGAGAAACCCCTAGGTCTGTGAGTGTCCCAAAGGTAGTGCGTAAGGCTTGGGTACCCTCATGAGATAGTGGAGACCCGAAGCGGAACCCAGGCCAAAGCATTTCCAAATGCTATGAAGATTTTTGGAGCTGAACAAAGGTCAAACTGGAGACAATGGTCAATAAACACCAGGCCCTCCCAAACAACCCCCAGGACCAGGTGATCACAGGGGTGATGGGCAGGATCTGGTAGGCCCTCTTCAGGTCGAGTTTTACCATTTGTGTAAACTGGCCAAGTTCCAGGACGACACAGCATCATCCACTGATGGGTAACTAAGGGAGCATATGTCAGAAGGAAAACTGTCATTAAAACTCTTACCCTTAGGAAAAGACAGGTCGACAATCATCCTCCATACAATACCTCATTGCCCTTAGAGACTAGGCCAATGGGGCTAACATGCACTTGGTTGGACAGAGGCAATGGGCCTGACATAAGGCCAGCAGTTATCTCCTCTCTCATGTAAGTAGAAATAACCTCTGGTTGTGTGTCACAGGATGGGTGATTCCGTGTCAAAGATCAAAAAGGGACTGGGGAGGACAAGCCAATACAAAACCCATCCCTCAATCCACAAAAGACTTAGGAAGCCAAGTGTCTATCTGAATACTGCACCAGAAAAGACCAAAAGAGTGATTAGTTCACTGGTGAAGTTGGTATAAACCCAGCCAACTCTCGGAGATGATACCAAAAATTGTAGGAATCCCCCAACAGACCCATTCTCTCAAACAACAAAGAGCCAACCATAATAAAGTGAGCTCAGCATTAGATAAGACCATGCCTCCCCATCGCGGGTAATAAACAAGGATACTAATAACCACCACTGGCAACACCACAGCTTAGCTAATATGAGAGGTGATAAGTGCCAATATTATGGTATAGTACTATGAAAAGAACAGGGGTGTGGTAGATCAGGAATAAATTAAAATTAATGAATTAATTAAAGTGGGCTGGTCACATGTAAATTTAATCCACATACATGGCGACATAATATGTCGCATTTGAGATCTAATGTATGTGACACAGCTATTGCTACTTTAAGGCAATTACTTTCCGATTTGGTGATGTATAACGATGGAAGAATCATTCCAGAAGACATTTTAGAGTCTTTTGATCACTCACTTGGATTTGTGAATCGTGAGTTGCTGGTTTATGACACCTTAGAGCCTGACTCTGGCATGCAGCCTATAATCAGTCTAATAGGAATTTGTGTATCTATTGTCAGACAAATGATTAGCCATCATGGATATGCTCAGTCACATAACAGTGTTTTACCCAGTTATTGTGGTTTGATAGGTCGTCCCAGTTTTATTATACCATCTGAGCAGCTCTCTTTCCTCATTGAACACAGGTTTACTGTTGTTCAAATAGCCGAAATGTTAGGTGTGTCTGTAAGAACAATCAGACGAAGAATGTCATCATATGGGCTATCAGTTCGTGAAAGTTATTCTACTATTACTGATAATGAACTTGACGAGATTGTTCTTGGAATTCAGCGCAACTTTCCAACTTGTGGCAATAGTGTAATGCAGGGACATCTCCTTGCACAAGGATACCGAGTACAACAACATCGTGTTAGAGATTCTCAGCGTAGAATTGATCCTGATGGTTCGGTCTTAAGACGGTTAAGAGTTTTAAATCGAAGAGAGTATTCTGTATCTGGACCACTAGCTCTTTACCATATAGATGGAAATCACAAATTAATTAGGTTTGTTGGATTACTCATATTTGTATCCACCATACCTTATTATTGTATAGGTGGCGAATAGTAGTACATGGATGTATTGATGGTTACAGTAGGAGAATTATATACTTACAAGCACGTGATAACAATAAGGCAGCAACTGTTCTCCAATTATTTACTGATGCTGTGTTAGAATTAGGACTACCGAGCCGAGTACGGGCAGACAGAGGTGGTGAGAATGTAGGAGTGGCTCAATTTATGTTGCAGCATCCTTTGAGAGGTCCTGGCCGTGGAAGTTTTATTAGTGGGCGTTCTGTGCACAATCAAAGAATTGAACGGTTGTGGCGGGATGTCTTCCAAGGTTGTTTGGTTTTGTTCTATCATCTCTTTTATGAAATGGAAGATCAAGGGATTTTAGATATCAATAATGAAATTCACATATATAGCCTTCATTATGTATTTTTACCTAGAATCAACTTGGCTCTGTCTGAATTCAAAGAAGCTTGGAATCACCATCCTCTTTCAAGCATGAGTAATTTGTCTCCAATGCAGTTATGGATTGCAGGTATATCTCGCTCTCAAGCTCAGGATAATGTACACCAAGTGAGCTTTTAAAATTTTACCATTCCTTATTTAGATTTTACAGGATAATGTTCCTCACTATGGGATTGATTGGTCTGGACCTATTCCAAATGACAATGAAGAGCATGTTGACATTCCTGAAATAGATAGCCTTTTGAACAGTCACATTTTGTCTGTACTGCAAAACACAGTTTCACCAATGCAATACAGTTCAAATTTTGGAATTGATTTGTTTTTGAATACTTTATACTTTGTTTATCATTATCATTAATAATATTGAATGAAATCAAAATTAGAGGAAAGAGAAGAACAAAATTACTAAGAGTATTATTGCCATAACTGGTCAATAAACAAATTTATAAGTGATTCAGAAAGAAAAGAGCAAAATTACTATTCATAACTGGTTAATGAACAAATTTATAAGTGATGAATAATAGCAATTAGATATAGTACGTAGTACAATGCTCATGCTTCAGTTAAACTAAGCCAAATCCTCCGTGCATGCTAAAAGCAGTGTCTAGACTTCTTTTAAAATCATAGTAGCTTCTGTATTTAGTTGGCAGGGTTAACTGGACTGCACAAGTTGAAGCTGTGGGAGAATCATTTTCTGAATTGAAATTCAGAGTGACAGACACGAATCCTTGGGGCGGTATTCTAGTAGCTCCAGTGAAGGATAAAACTTTCTCTAGTGTAACTATATAGTGCATTATATTTATTTTCAATTTACAAAGTTAGTCATACCTTGTGTTTCATCAGCTTCAGAACTTGGAACTAAAATTTGTAAAAATAATAATTTCATAAAAATACAATAATCATGCACCTTCACAATCATCAAGGTAGTCAATAAAATACATGTAGGCTTGATCTTCTCTGGCACGTTCATTGCTACCATGTTCTGAGTAATGGATTTCTGTGAACATATTTCTGATAAAATCTACATCATACAGCAAATAATGATTATTGAAAATGCAACATGTGTACCTGGTGTCAACTGCATGTCCTCATCATAGCAAAAAAAAGGAGAAAGTAATAGCGGATGTTTCTTCATAGCATGTGATACCCCCAACACAGAAAGCCCCTCACAAAATTGATTTAATTCTGCCAAGGATGATAAAATAACTTTGTGCAATGCAATTGTTTGAATGACATCCCCTTTATCTTTAAGTGTGACATTACAAATTGGCTTATTGTAACCACATTCAAAAAGGATGCTGTCCTTGTCGTTTAATAATTCTTTTAACGATGATTCATCTTGCATTGATTCCACCTGTTGAAAAAGCAATTTTAATAATGATATACATGTACATGCAAAACTTATTTACTTTCAACAAAAAATCTTGCACAAGAAAATCTGAAACCTCTGATATTTTTACATTGATTTGTGAAGGTTCTATGCCACACATGAAGTCATAGACTGAGTGAGCAAATAGCCTTAGTGGTGGCCCATCCTGTATAAAAGCAATGGAGCATAAAATACCCAAACGCTTATGTACATGATCCCATAAAGCACCAATACCATGATAACAAAAATAAAATTGAAATGTGTCACTTGATATGCTAAAGCATTATGAAGAAAACATCCTTTGCTATCTAGATATTTCGTGGCAATATCTTTAGCAATTAAGCAAAAAAACTCCCTTTTGAGTCCACCAGTATCAAATCCATTTTCAGAATCAAAAATTACCTATTTAACGTTTTATTAATAATAATAATGAAGTCAATTATGTACCTTCAATCTCTTCAAAGGATCAAATGATGGTTTCATCATTCGTCTTAAAGCATTCTCTAGAACAGTTGGCCGACTTACAACCATCTCAAAAGTGTCACCTTCCATATTGCATTGAAGTTCTTCAATGATACTGACAAGAGATCTAAAAGACAATGCAAGCATTCAAATATAAAACATTATTTATTTTTATGCAATAATTTGAAATTGGCATTGACTTACACATCTTCATTAGAATACAGAACAGGCGAAGGAACAATATGATCGCTATCATGATTGAAATAAACAATAATTAAATTAATGAAACAAAATCAATAACAATAAATGTGGAAGTTGCAAAAACAAGAAACAAAGACAGAATATAATTCTCACTTTGACTCATCATTGCTTCTGCATGTAGTTCCAACAACAGGATCCATATGTACACCCACCTAGATTCTTCAATTATTATTATATAATTATAATCAGTATTAAGTATACCTCTTCAATAGGATCAAAATGCACGCCATCTTCAAAAACTTCCTGCTGGTTTGTACTGAAAAACTCAGAGCTGCAACCAAGATTCTGAGAACTAGTCCAACATAGTAGTTTAAAGTAACAAGACTATGGGTCTTACTTTTCACACATTGAAATATGGCTCTTCAGCTCAGCAATAGGAATTGCTTTTCCACATTTAAGACAATTCTCTTTAGGTGGCCCTATCAATGACTGCACAAAAATCAAGTGATATAAAAATAGTAACAATTACAACAATTTTAATTTTGTTTAGGCTTCTCATTTTAGACATTAAATCAAAATAATAGTAACAACAAAAATTAACTGAAAGAAAAACTTAAAGCAATTTATTCATAGTAAGTACTTCAATTCACTTACCTCATGATGGTTGTAACATGGTTCCAATGAAAGATTTCTTTGAAGGGGTCTGATGTATAATTTAGCGTTTCGGGCAACTGGTTTTAGAAATGAAGCCGTATAACCAGTGCTTGGTATTTCTATTATTGATAAAAGCTTCCCTCCATTATCAGGAATCTTCAATAGTTCAAAGCCTCCGGCTTGTTGCAATTTAGGGAAATCCAAAATTATTGCATCGTACATGTCTTGTGAGTCAGCATCACGTGAGACTGTTATTGTCTTTTCCCCTAAGCCAGCTATCTGTAAAGCTGCCCTTTCTTGTCCATTGGGTATAATAACTTGATCTCTTTTAGCTAAGCATACGTAAGTATGTGTCCAAGTAGCTGCTTTCTTTTCCTTACATTTAGCACTACTGCTTGACTGAGATGACTTACGCTTCCGACCAATTAAACTTTTAGGGTTCCAATGAAAGTTATAACTTGGCTGTGGAACTGGTATAGCACCAGATGTAGAAGATATAAATCTACTAGTAGTTGGCGTAGCAGTAGCAGGTACTGGACAAATACTAACTGGTTGAGTAACTGAGAATGAAACACTAGGAATAGTACCACTAGGCCCATGATCACTTGTTGGAGAAATATTAACAGCCTGTGTGTTAATCAGTTGACTGAGCTGATGGCCTGTATAAAGATATCATTTGTAAGTTGAGAGTAACACAGAGGTAGACACAGGCAATAACAAAATTTAAGCCCACTAATTTATGTATTTCTTGGCTACATGCAAACATATCATACTTTGATGACAATAATGAAAGTGAAATCCACATCAATCACTGAGTGATCCCATGCACCATAGCAATAATAATCCTTGAACTTATAAAATAACTTTTTGAGCAACTTTAGTCATTGTTAACACTATTCATTAGTGCTCATTATCAGTTATCGGTGTAAACACAAAGTGTATACTGTGTATGTAGCATGAATATATTTATAGTTTACTTTCCAGTTGACGCAAAGCCTCTTGAAGTACAGTTTGTAGCGACTTATTGGCTGAAGCTGGATCATTATTAAACGACATCGAACGAAGGAGGAAAAGAAAGAAAAGGTACGTTGTTGAGAAAAGGGGCCTTTTCATAAGGTCACTCACGTGGCATCATGGGTGCAAAGTGCAAATAACACATGCCATGCGCATGCAACTCAGCCCCGCCCCATTGAGCTAGCTACACCCACTCAATGGGGCAGGGCTGAATTTCTACCTGCTCAAACTTATGTTAATTTGCATCAAAATTGGCTAATTTTACTATAAGAAGTGTTATGCAATCGAAAAGGTAGCTTTTTAACAAAAAAAAAAAATTTTCGTTTTTGATTTTTAACGGGTGAAAAAACCATATCATTGGTGCTCCAATTACTTAAATGCTTGGAATAGGTGCAGGTTGTATTGCATTAAAAAAATTCACAAAAGAATGTCTAAAATGAATGAGATACAGAGCTAAAAGCATGATTTTAGCACTCTTAACCAGCCTTAACGCCCACTCATAGTGGGTGTGGCTGGGTATTTTACAGGCAAGAACTCAGAGTTTCTGCATCAAAATTCACCAATTTTCCCATAAACTATCCTGTATAGCTAGTAGTTAATGTTTAACTAGGAATGAAAGATAATTGCAAGTGGATATAAAATGGAGAGATTGACCCAACTTGGTCTTCAAGCCCAGTAAGTTTAGTTATTGGCTTTACTGCCAAAAAAGGAGGACAAATTGGCCACTTTTTATGTCTGCTTGCAGTTAGCTTTAATTTTTGCTTAAACATTTCCTAATAGCTATATAGAGCGGATCATGACAATATTGGCGAATTTTGACACAGAAACCCTGAGTTCTAGCCTGTAAAACCCAGCCACTCCCCACCTGAGTGGGTGTTACCTCTTTGGCTCAATGTCTTTATCATTGTTCACTTTTCAGTTACATTTTTTTCAGAACTCTAATTACTTTGCAGCACTGCTAGATAATGATTCCAATTGGCAGTCATATATATTTTGGGCATGTTACATGATCTTTTAAGTAAAAAAATGATGATAAACTTTTAGTTGTAAGCGCTAGCAGAAACATAATATGTGACTGTAAAAAGGACTACACATAATTGCTCTTGGTCTAATGGTTAGTACAATTTTTCCACTTGTTCAAAACATCAAATTGAATGTTGATGTTAAAGATTCACCAATATTAATATATTTACACCAGTTATATTACAATCTTTATTCTTTATCATGTCCTCTCTCTCTCTTGGTCATTTCTATCTCAATCTCTTTCTTTTCCCCTTGTCTGGTCCTATGCAAATACACAATAATGAGGAATAGTGAGGAAACTGAGATAATAATACAGGAACTCACAACTGACGACTCGGTCCTCATTTGAAGCAGCTCTAACCTCTAAATGAGAGTATTTCAGATCCCCACGTATACAAGGGCATTTATTATTATTTTTAATAGAAAAACTACCCGATAAACTTCATTAAAATGGTCCATAAGAAGAACGAGCTTAAGAACCATCACAGCGACGGCCATTGTTGTAATTAAGTTAGTCTATGATTTTATTGATTGCATACCTGCCACACCCATCTTTATTATAGTAATAGACTAATATTGGCACAAATCACCTCCCATATAGCTAAATCAATGCAACAAAACCTGGCTCAAAGGCACACCTTAACTGGGCAAAACAAGCAGCAAATGGAACATCAGATAAAACAGTATCAGAAATAACCAATGCAACCCAAAATAGGACAATTGTACAATCAAAAACATGAAAGTTAATAGACGAAAAAGGGGCGCAACAATGGGAGTTAATGAGATGATGTAGGTTGGCCAGGAGTGAAAAGGAGGAGCCCTGCCTTACAAATGAGGTACGGAACCTAGAGTCTGGCAGGGTATCTCTACAGTCCCAGGCCCAATGCTGGCATCTCTCACATGTGGCACAGGCATGCACACAAACACACGGCCATATTGCAAAGGAACAGCGGCCGTCGTTCCACAATAGACAAATTTGTGTATTCCTAGGCCCAAAATTCAGACAAATTGGGTGCCTGAGAAAGATCAACGCACATTCTGAGGGTTAGTCATCAAATCTTTGGCATAAACAACAAAACAACCTCGATCAAGGACGAAGACTAAGTGCAGTAGAAGCCATTAGACTAGGATGGAGGATACACAACTGCAAGAATGGGTCTATCACCGCCTATTGCCGAAACAAGCTTTCATAATCAAGCCAGTCCCGACCACCATGTTGTAGGGCTTCTCTCACTATCTGTATGGCATACATCAGACGATTATGAACAGTGTGGTCTGGGAACAACACAGGAAAGTATGTCAAATAATAGTACACCCACGATGGTAGCGAGAAAACTTTACAAAGGCGGGACCTGGAAGCAGGGACCACAGTGGGGAAGCACACTGCAGCAGCCTTAAAGTGATGAGACAAGGCAATGTTGTGCCCCAGGAGGTCTCGCATTCAATGCATTGTCCCTCCCAAATCCTTTGGACGAGTATAGCAGGCATGGCTTCAGAAGATAACGACAAACTGAGGCCCATCTGAGGTTAATAGCTGGTGATTGACAAAGGCTGGGAATATGGTGGCTGTGGGAGAGGGGCTGCCCCCAGGCAGGACTCGTAATGGGGCGAAAGGTACCACTGGCAGGGAGGGGGCAGAAGTGAATAGAAGCAATGTGGACACTGACGCTGGATGTGGGAGAAATCCTAAGACAAAGGGCCAACCTGTAGCAACAGAGTAAAAGACCCAGCAAGAAATGGAATGATGAAGGTAACAACACCAGTAGACAAATAAACAAATTAATGAAATAAAATAAAATAATATGGTATGAGTAAGATTCCAACCCAGAAACAAGATGGAGGACTAATGGTCCCACTGACAGTTATGCCACAACAACCTCAAACACCATTATAACAGCAGAAATAATGGCTGCATGGATAACAGCTAATGACACATGTCACACATCAAACCCATGGCAGCACATGCACTGCTAATGACAATACACACGGATAGCCCCCAACCTAACAAAATTGGGGCCAACTAGGAGTAAATGAGGACACACCAGACGAGCTACATGCTAGTGCTGAGGTTAAAGCAGGTTTCGGGAGCCCAGGAGTTGTATGAGAACAGATGGGGGTGGCTGCAAGGCCTGAAAATGGCACAGGAAGAGGAGTGGAGACATTGTCTAAGTGACAACGCAAGTCCTTAAGGATCATGTCCAGGAACACAGAATATTCCCGGCTACCAGGATCAGAGTCAGAGACAGCCACTGCGGCCCCATCACTCAAACGAGTAGCAATAGCAGCACTGACTATAGTGACATTGTGTCTTGAACCTCAAGCTTGACCTCTGACATGACTGCGGCCACGAGTCTTCGGAATGAACAGAAAGAAAACCAAAATAATTAAAAGTATACCGAAGAATAAATGGCAGCGAGGGTAGCCAACTCACAATAACTGGAAGGTCTGACGTGCGCATGCATTGGGACAAGTGGCAATTGGGAGTGGCCCCTTCTTATTAAATATCTTCCAATGCCCACATCTAAACTACACATAGAATTAAGACTGGAACAGCTACAGGATTGTAGAAAGATGAACACTCTGAGCATACAGCTGTTTGAGCATTTAAGAACCTGTTTCAAGACTTGTAGTAATTTCACTTGTGATCAGTATAGTAGATTATTACTTTAGCATATCTAGTCAGTCTCTCCTAAATGTTGTAATGCCTTAACAATGGTGATAATAATATAAAGACTATTGTTTGCTTAAAGGCAATGAGTGTCACAATTGCAAACAAAAAAAGACCGGCGTTACAATAATAAACGTTTTAAAAAAAACCAAAACTACAGCATAAACAAGCGTAACAGTGTAAAAATATTCCTATAATTGTTTTCACCACTTTGCATGTACAGCAAGATTCTTATTAAGACTTATGAAGGTCCTCTCTTCCTTCTAATTCTTCCAGAAAAGACTTTGGACAGTATCTCTATGTTCTTTCGCTGATAGAAAGCTCATAACTTTGTCCCATGTGTAAACCGCCATTTTGTTTGCCGTAAACACACCCACTTACATAGCGTGGGCGGGTGGTTGCTAAGGCTTGTTATTTCTCCAATACAACGTGTATAGAAGAAATGTAAGTGTTGACATACAAATATATATATATCGCACGAGGGTGAAATCAATTATAGGACGACCTGGGGGCGTAGCCCCCAGGTCGTAAAAATTCAGAAAACAAGGTCAAGTAGGATTCCAGAGTATATTAGTAAAGTGGGATACAAAACAACCGATGACAAAATAAAATTGATATCCTAGTCTCGCAACATTTTTTTATCTACATTGCAAAATGATTCATAATTCTTAATGGATGACATTCGAAGTACAGTTTAGAGTACAATTTGCATCGCGGAATTTAGATATTGATGTCATAATTTTGAATGGTCATTCAGAATTTTACCTGTCCTTGTTTGAATTATTTTTTTTGTACAATTTGCTCTAAAATCCCACTTAACTTTCTTGTTTAGGGATGTTACATAAATATCAATACCCAAAACTAAAAATGAACAAGGGCGAGATTCAGAAATAGAATTCCTTCATGAATTTCTTGTGGCTATTCTAACACAACAAAGTCCCCACATTATCTATAGTAAAATGGCTTATAGAAACATTGTGTCACTCATAAGATGGCTCTCTACAATTTTTTAATTATTTGGTTATAAAACCTATCATAATGATCCTTTATCAAATAGTCTATGCGAAAGCATGAACTGTGATTAAGACTCTACTGGCTTTCATTCAATATAGGTTTCAGGTTAGGGCTACCATGGTGATGTGGCCAGCAGTAGTTTAGCATTGATAAAAGGTTTGTGTGATTACAAGAATGTGCTTGCTTCACATTATTTGATTTCACAAAGTACACACTATTTGCCAATTTCATTAAGGAAGCAATAGTATTTACTTTCAATTTAATTGTATTATACTTTCTCTGAAGAATATGATTCCTGCGTTGTACAATTTACGAAGTAATGGTGGTAAAAAAGATTTTGTCAATAGTGAAGGTATCATGTGAGCCAAAAATAGACAAACTGGGAAGGTCTTTATGTAAAATACTTTCAAATGTGAGAGATTCCTTGATACAGCTCAATGTATGACCTGCAAGAAAATGCAGGGAAGCATGAGTTTAAATATAGGTTTTTAATTGATTAAATGCATTCTTCTCCAGCAACAATACATGGTGTCTGCTGCATTAGAGCTGGCAGATTTTCGAACTGATGAGTATCTAAAGCAAAGTCATTGAAAATAGATCTGAGAAAGCCAAAATAGACAGCCTTGGAAGGTCCTTATCTAAAATATAGTACATTGTGAGAGATTCCCCGATGCAACGCAATGTATGACCTAATGCAAGTAAGGTATAGGTTCTTTATGGATTATCTGCATTGTTTTGCAGCACCGATACATGATGTCTGTTGTAGAAAAACAGGCAGATTTTCAGTTTGAAGAGTATTGAAAGCCCAATGTTTAAAAATTTATCTAAATTGCGCATTGATAGAAATACCTCACTGGGAGCGTTGTGATATTGTTTTGTCGCCAATAAACAGCGCCCCAATAGCAATTGCTTGCTTAACTCATTGATATTTTTGGCCCCAGGTTTAGTGGCCCCAATTGCAAGATTTTGCCCAACTCAAAGATCTTTGGGCCTTCAACTTGGTAGTGCCAATTGCTAATTATGTCCTAGTTCAATTATGCAAAAAGGCCTACGACCCCAGCTTCAATAATATCCCAGACCAATGGAAAGCCAAATGTTTCAAAAT